TTCTAGTGAGGACAAAACAAGGGTCCTGCACCTTTTTGGTGCAGATGTGGTGCCGTTTCACCCATACATCCAGTGCATGCCGCCCGCACTGGAAAACGCAACCGTACTGGAAACCGAGGTTTCCGTGCGGGCTGCGTTTTCAAAAAGAAGTGCAGGGACTTCTTCCCTGAGTGTCACAGGCAAAACGCGGCCCGCACGGCCGCATATATATATAAACCAAGGCTTAGAAGGGAAACAAATACAGACATCACACCTAAGAATTGGTAAGCTGCAATATATTAAATGTTTGTTTTTGGTTTTAATATTTCGTTAATGTAAAGTTTGGATTTTAAAGTAGCAGGTGTGAAAAAAAAAGTTTTTGATGAAAACATAACTCAACTGGAAGGTGTCTTTTTGCATTCTAAAGTGCACATCTGTGCTGTTTCTGATTTGCACTGGCTCCTAAATTCTACCTTCTCATATTTGCTGTATAGTTAAGACCACTTATTGGTAGTCTGCTGGCAAGGAAAGGGTGTGATGTTTATAGATTCCTCCTAGTTTTGTTTTAACCACACTTAAAATAACTTTCTGGAGTGAGTATAAAGAAAAAAAAAATGAACATTTATTTCCAGATGAACATCAGTGCGCTCTTACACATAAATATTGCAATTATACCATCATCTGTGAATTGTTACTTAATGTGGATCTTGTCCGAACGGAAATGCAAATGAAAGTTAACATTAATGTTTAACATATTAGAAGTCTGTGCCGAGAAACAATAAAGTGCCAGAGATATAATATTTCTGTTTAGTAAGTGGCAGTAACCATGGTAAGAATAACAGGCAGTGGGTGGGTATAAGGCAGCGAATTCCCTAAAATTCTAATGCTAATTATAAGCACTAGGACAATTACCTCCCACATACTTAACTGTTGTTCTGGTTTTTTTTTTTTTTTTTTTTTTTTTTTTTTCTTTTTCAATCCTGCGGAGTTCTTCAAACACTACATATGGCCTTTGTTTAACACTTGATACTCTTCAGTGTTATTCCTCACAAGCACATAGGAAAAGGAAGTAATACGAAATGAATGCAGCCTGCTCATTTTCTCACTTGTCACCGAGCCAAATGCTAGAATCAAAGCTGGTTTCGGATAATTCTGCTTTGCATACAAGTGCGTTATCAATAAAATAACATGTGGACAGTATAGGATGTAAGCGAAGGACCTGCAGTACAAAAGGGACGAATACAAGAAAGGATTTTCAGGCAGACTAAATAACTTTGTTGTGTTGCACTGCAGTAAAACCTGTACTGAGGAAATATGGGGGTTCTTCAGTACTGGAGTATTTGACCTGTATTAACCACTTCAATGCCGGGCACTTATACCCCCTTCCTGCCCAGGCCAATTTTCAGCTTTCAGCGCTCTCACAGTTTGAATGACAATTGCGTGGTCATGCAACACTGTACCCATATGACATTTTTATTATTTTAAAAAAAAAAACACTTTTATTCATTTCTGTTATAACATTTTGCAAATAAATAGCACTTCTTCATAAATTTAGGTCAAAATGTATTCTGCTACATTTCTTTGAAAATAATAATAATTGAAATTTGTGTTTTTTTTTCAAATGTTTCTATTATTTTTTTAATATTGTTATTACATTTTTTTTTTACTATTTTATTTTTCAGCACACTGTGACCAAAGCAATACAATGTTACCATAGTAACATTGAAATACTCTGGGCAAATTATCAGGATTTATTTTTAACACATTATGATTGCTAATACCAATGTATTTCATTGGTATTTGCAATCATTGTTACTGAATGAAACTGATTCATTCAGTCTTTTGTTGGGATTAGCTGTGATTGGGCAAAGCTGATCACATGATACAGATGGGCTGTGATTGGCCCTGTCTGCATCATATGACTGCCTTGACCAGTCACAACTAACAACATAATTGTATACAATGAATGGGATGACAGGAAGCCATCCATTGTATACAATCGTCATGTGATCTGCTGTGATTGGTCACAGCGGTCATATGACACTGACAACGGGCCGCTGTAGTGATATGTCATCAGCTGTGCTCACGTGGACACAACCGGTGACAGATCGCGCCGCTACACGGCACCATTTTGACAGGATGTCATATGACGCCCAGTCACAACAGCAAGTGTCCCGCCCGGCCGTCAATCTACTATAGGCGTGTTAAGTATGCAGATCATTGGTGATGAAACAGCAAGACATGGACTCTGGAAAAAGAAGTTGCCTTTTTCCTTTCATGATTAGGGACAAGTTAGGTAAATGAATATATGGACAAAGGATCAATCAACCAACAGTGATAATACAAACTGCAGCCACAACATGTGAGCCCATTAATACAAGGTAAGGTAATTGACACAGGGAATATAATTATACTAATACCTAGTTAAAACAAAGAAAACATTTGGAAGTGTACAGTGCCTTTAATGATGACGTTGGTTGCTGTGCACTTGTTCCAGGTCAGTAATTCAGTGTATGGAAGCTAGAGACAGCCATTTAGGAAGTAGTTTCGGAAGCAGTTGACTTACTAAATGTTCTTTCATCATCCTAATTCTGGCTGCACTAACTACCTAATAAGCCTACATTGTGCCATTCCTCTTCTATAGCTGTCTGTCCTTTAAATACCTATCTGTGTCTAGCTGCACTTTAGATCCCTTTTTGTCCTGGACTTTTATCTTTGCAGGTGCATGCCATTGTATGTTTTCCTTTTTTTATATCAACTAAGCCCAGTGGGGATAATTTACTAAAACTGGAGCAGACAGAATCTGGAGCAGCTGTGCATACTAACCAATCAGCTTCTAGCACCAGCTAGTTCAGTTTAAGCAGTATTCAATCCAAAAACAAAATTTCAATATATCACAGTGACCATTGATTATGTGGAGGTTGCATTTGTTTTTGTTTTCTTTATTTTCACCTGGTGATCCAGTCATTATGTATGTTATTTTTAACTTCCTTTAACCACTTCCCATGTAGATAAATTGCTGGACGGGAGCGCTGGTGATGCGAGTGGACGTTTCTAAATGTCCCCCCGCATCCATTGCCTGAGCGCGCTCCACGATCGGAACAGCGGAGCACAGATCGCTGTACGTGTGAGGTCCCGATTCATGTGATTACTAATTGGTCAATCGGTGACCACATGAATAGTAGTAAACAAGATGTCACTTCCTGATATCATTGCTTACTACTTGTGAAATCTGTGAATGATCACAGAGATCGCATGGTACAAGGCTATTCACAACAGCCTTGGACAAGCTGTGACCAATCACAGCTCACAGTATTTCTCAATGGCTGCAGGAATGCAGCCAGAGAGAATGAGAAATGCTTTCTTTTACAGCCTTTGAGTGTAAAAGCAATCAGTGTGAAAAAAAAATCTTCATCACCCCCCCCGTAAGTAGTACAGTGTCACTAAGGTGACACTGTACTGCTAGGGTGACAGTATGTTAAAAAAAAAACTAAAAACATAATATAAAAAAATAATAAAAATTAAAAAAAAATAGAAAAGTTATTTTTGGTTATAAACCAATTTGGGTTATTTTTTTATTTTTTTTTAATAAAAAGATAGATGAATACATTTTGGCCAATATTTATGAAGAAAGATTATTTGCAAAATTTTATAAGAAAAACACTTTTTTAAAACATTTTTGGATTTTTCATTTATATAGCAAAAAGATAAAAATCTCAGTGGTGAATAAATACCACCAAAATAAAGTTGTATCGGTCTCAAAAAAAATTCATATGGGTACAGTGTTACATGACCGTGCAATTGTCATTCAAAGTGTGATAGCACTGAAAGCTGAAAATTGGCCTGGACTGGAAGGGGGTGAAAGTGTCTGGACTTGAAGTGGTTAATAGACTATGCTCTCCAGCAAAATTGCCAGCAAGAGGATTAAGACAAACCATTTAACACTGACAAGGGTGCTTACAATGGTCAGCTTTAATTCATTTATGTAAAACCTTTATCCCAAAAGAAAAGACAAAAATATTCCTGTAACTACGTAAAAGTATTTGCTGGAGTTGGCTTTGCTTTTCTAGGTACCTATGTAAAGTCACTCGAACACCACCCTCTCCACTGATTGACAATGCCGCTGTCCAAGGGTGGCTATGTTGTTCCTCCATTGATGGAGTGCAGGAGTGAATGTAGCCACCTTAAGACAGGAGGTGTGTTGCTATCCAATCACCAGGTGAAAATAAGGGAATAAAAGCCTGTAAAAAGGAAACCAAATGCAGCCACCACATCCAATTATTGGTAAGCTACAATATATTACATTTTTGGGTTAGGATTGGTAAGCTGCAATATATAAAACAAAATTGGTTTTGGGTTTTATATTATTATTATAATGGATTTATATAGCTCCAACAGTTTGCCCAGCTATGCAAATGAAAGCTAGAAGCTGATTGGTTGCCATGTACAACTGCTCTAGATTTGTATCGCACCAGTCTTGGTAAACTCCCCTTAATGAATTTTCATTGACCTATTGGAGATTGAAAGGGAGGCAGAACAATAAATAATAGGGTGGCAATAGACTGAACTCATCTCAGAAGCTCTGTGAAAAGGCTAATGAATGTGATTGTATGGGTTTATAGAAAACATGGATTAAATGTAAAATGAGTAATCTTTTTGATTTGATGGCGTTGTTTCTTAAATAGTATTCTTGGCCCATTGGATAATTTTACTTCTTGTCAGGAGATGGTGCTTATTAAAGTGTTCCTAAACCCAGGACCCTGCATTCACTATATCTGGTCTCTCAAAGTACACAGAACATGGAAATGCAATTATTTTAGTAAATATAAACTGCTAAATACCTTTTCTTATCAGCAGTTAGAGCAGTCTTGTGACTTCTATCAGTGTTCAGCAGAACACTCGTTAAAGTTTGTAGGAGGAGTTTTCATTTTGCTCTAGGATGCAGGACCATTGACCTCTGTCTAAACAGTGCCGATTGGCCCTGATCACATGCACTCTCCCAAGAAAAAAGAAAAAAAGACCTCTCTAGCAATACACACCAAACTGAGCATATGCAGTATCTCCACACATGATATGTGTTATCAGGAGATAAGAAGGAGGCACTGGAAGAAAAGGAGGATCAGAGAAGATGGGATCGAACATCCTTTTTACAAAATGCAGAGGATTAACCCTTAGGTTCCACAGTGAGTATAACAAGCATGCTTTACTGCATATACAGACTGATTTTACTGTTGTGGGTTTAGTAACACCTTAATGCATAAACTTGAAAGTCTTAAAGTGGTTTTAAAGGCTCAAGGTTTTTCACCTTCATGCATTCTATGCATTAAGGTAAACATTCTTCTGTGTGCAGCAGCCCCCCCTAATACTCACCTAAGCCCCTCTCGATCCAGCGATTTGCACTGGATTCTTGGCTATCCCGGGACTCCCTCTTCTCATTGGCTGAGACAGAAGCGGGAGCCATTGGCTCCCACTGCCGTCAGTCACTGCCAGTGAGCCAGAAGAGAGGGGGCGGGACCGAGCCGTGGCTCCATATGTGAATTGACACACGGAGCAGCGGGTGCCCTTATAGCAAGCTGCTTGCTGTGGGGGCACCTGACAGGAGGGAGGGGCCAGTTGAGCTTGTGGGGGACCTGAGAAGAGGAGGATCCAGGCTGCTCTGTTCAAAACCACTGCACACAGCAGGTAAGTATAGGCCTGTTTGTTATTTTGTCTTTAAAAAAAAAAAAGAAGTTAAGCCTTTAGAATCACTTTAGACTGACCATATATGGGTCATTTTTTTTTTTTTTTTGTTCAGCCAGCTGGTTGAATGAAAAAAACTGATCCAATTCCCCCATCCACACATTCAATGTTGTAGCAATCCTGTATTGCATCCTCATTGTGTTCTGACAGTGGGACTCCCCTCACGTCAGAATACTCTGATCAGCGCTGCAGCTGATTGGCTGCAAGCATTGATTGAAGCAAAACTGTCCAGCAGGGCCATTTATCAAAGGTTGATTAATAGATCGACTTGTCATGAACGGGAACAGCTATACACGGATCAAAATTCAGCTGGCTTCTTCTGAACTGACAGAATTTCAATCCATGTATGGCCAGCTTTACCTCTTATTTGTTAAATGCAGAAATCCTAGTGGTGCTTACACACTAAGGCCCCCAAATCATTCCTGGTGAAATAATCCGACCTTTCAACAATAGATTTTTATTATTATTATTATTATGCAGGATTTATATAGCGCCAACAGTTTGCTCAGCCCTTTACAATATAACGGGAGACAATACAGCAACAATACAGTTCAATACAAGAGGGATAAGAGGGTCCTGCTCTTTGGAGCTTACAATCTTGGAGGAAGGGGCTAGTGGTACAAAAGGTAGTAACTGTGGGGGATGGACTGGTTGGAAGAGTAGAAGATTCCAGTATTAGCTGAGGGCAGGATAGGCTTCCCTGAAGAGATAGGTTTTCAGAGATCACCTAAAAGTGAGCAGAGTAGGTGATAGTCTGATAAATTGGGGTAGAGAGTCCCAGAGGATGGGGGAAGCTCTGGAGGAGTCCTGGAGACAAGCTTGGGAGGAGGAGACAAGGGAGCTAGAGAGTAGGCGGTCTTGCGAGGAGCGGAGAGTACGGTTTGGGTGATATTTAGAGACAAGATCGGTGATGTAATTTGGGGTAGAGTTATAAATGGCTTTATACGTTATTTATTTTTGTGTTTTGAATTTTATCTGTTGGGCAATGGGAAGCCAGTGGAGGGATTGGCAGAGAGGGGTGGCAGGTACAGATTTTTTGTCATGCTAGATTATTATCTATTAGTGCATATCAGATAAGGTTTCAGCAGAGCAGTGCGCATAGTACCAGCTTGTCTCTGTTCAATAAGCACAACCAATAGGAATCTGTACTTCAGAGATTTGCATTCATTTGATGTAGTTGTCTTCACTTTATAGACAAGGAGATGTATGCACTGTTATAACAGGATGTCTATGGACCCGCCAGTCACTCTTACATACAGCAGTTCCATCATAGGCGAGCCAAACTGAATGACATTTAGTATATATATATTATACTATATTATATATATTTAGTATTTATAGTGGAAAGTGGATTTCACTGCAAAATCTCTGGAAAGCTACCCCTGCTACCCCTCCAACCAGTTTATACTTGCCTTTACCATGCTCTGCCACTGCCCTCTTCCTTTGTCGGAGCCAACAGTCAAACCTAGTGTAAGCTGTGTGTCCAAACGTGCACAAGGTTGATGACATCCTCATCAAATGACAGTGGTTAGGTCCATACAAATCATTCTGGGAAGAGATCACATTGTCCCAATACCTGGAAGCATACCTGGAGAAATATAACAATGGGAGAATGGGGCTAGGGTGAATATAAGTGGTTTAGGGGGGTGGACGATTAACTGGCTGAGCAAAATGACAGAGGTCTCTTTAAGTCACACTAGGGCAAATAGCAGCATTCTGAATTTCCTTCCTTTATCACTCATCTGCCTGCAACCAGCTCATTGAACTAAAAATGGACTGAACTCTTGGCACAAGACCCTTCTTGGCATCTTTGTTCTGAACAAGTGTGAATGCCGCTCCACCCTACGCGGTGTTGTAAAGGATTCTTCAAAGGGGGAGTTTATAACACTTTTTTTTTTTTTTTTTTTTTTTTGTGAGCGCGAAAACAAATACATTTTTACTTTTTAATTTTTTTTTTTTTACTAAACTCTTTTTTTCAGCAGATAGGGGACAAGAAGTCCCCTATGTGACAGTGACACCAGGAATAAGGAGAGGTCAGTGGGCGGATGTTTGCTAATTACCCTCCCTGCTTCCTGGTGGCACCCGTCATGCTGGTCCTCTGTTGGGCACATGGAGCCCAGAAAACATGGCAGGGGTGCATGTAGGGGGGACCTACAGGTATCGGGGTGTGTATCTGCAATCTGGCAACTGTGCAGTTGTTGGATCACTTCCATCTGACAGTAGGCTTTCTAGATTTACAAAACCCCCAAAGCCACCACCGTAGTTTCTATGGCAGTGGCAGTAAAAGGGTTAAAGCAAACGTCCGTTCCAGTTTGCGATGTTAAACATGGATCTTAATGGGAGTGCTGTCACTGCTAGTAGGCTTTCAACAAGCTTCAAGCAGTGCTGAATATTACTGAAACCTGTTTGCAGCCTGTTAACAGAGACAGTCAGCACTTCCATTAAGAAAGGTACCTAACCTCTCTAAACTGAAGCTGAATAGTACTTTAACGGTTTCAACAAAGCTGCTTAAAGCTTGCTAGAAACTTTGCAAATGCTTTGTAAAAGCTTGCCATACATGCTGCTCGCGTAAAAGGCAATGCCCTTACTTTCAAGTCCTTAAAGAACTGTGACAGGTAAAAAATTGTTTTGATATGTCAGCCTTCTACCAGAAATATCAGAAGACGCAGTATATAGAGACTGTAGCACCTGCATCATCTTACTTCTGTCTGATAAAGATGGCAACAAGTTCCCCATTTTGAAAGTCATGGTTGCAATAAAAAGTATTGGTACCCCCAAAGAACCCCAATGAAGCTGCTTGAAGTTTGCTAGAAACTTTGCAAATGCTTTGTAAAAGTGTGCCGTACATGCTGCTCGAATAAAAGTCAATACGTACAAGTCCTTAAAGAACTGTGACAGGTAAAAAAGGGTTTTGATATGCCAGTCTTCTAACAAAAATATCAGAAGACGCAGTATATAGAGACCATAGCACCCATATCATGTTACTTCTGTCTGCTAAAGATGGCAACAAGTTCTCCATTTTGAAAGACATGGTTGCAACCAAAAGTATTGTTACCCCCAAAGAACCCCAATGAAGCTGCTTGAAGTTTGCTAGAAACTTTGCAAATGCTTTCTAAAAGTGTGCCATACATGCTGCTTGAATAAATGGCAATGCCCATATGTACAAGTCCTTAAGCAACTGTTACAGGTAAAAAATTGTTTTGATATGCCAGTCTTCTACCACAAATATCAGAAGACGCAGTATATAGAGACCACAAATATCAGAAGACGCAGTATATAGAGACCATAGCACCTGTATAATCTTACATCTATCTGCTAATGATGGCAAACGTTCTCCATTTTAAAAGACACAGTTGCAACCAAAAATATTGTTACCCCCAAAGAACCCCATAAAGCAGATTATAAAGCTAAAGAACAATGCCTGGTCTATAACATAACATAAAAGATTTATTGTGTCAGTTGCAACTTATTTCACATGAAATTGGGATGCTTTGGGGGAAAAAAGCTAAATGGAGTTGGCCTTGACTGTATCTGACCTGTCTTTTTGATATCCTTCAAACAAATCAATTTACCATTATTCTTTAAACATCACATTTTTCTTGTGCTTTTAGCTCATACTTCATTTTTTCATTTATATAATCGAAATGAGTAATATAAAATTGTACGTACTGAAATCAAAACATTCATTAATTAGTACATGTTTCCTTAAATAATGAAGAGTAATACCTTGTCTTTACATTCCAAGAAAGACTGACTGGTATAAAAAAAAGAAAAAAAAAAACCTGTAATCTGGCTTTATGGATTTCCGTAACTTATAATTTAAGATCAGTTATTAGGTGTGTTTCTGCATTTTATATATTGTTCCCAGATGCTGCAGTATTAGTTTTTATCACTGCATATTTTATGAAATGTCAGCCTTCTGTTGACTGTTCACGCAGCATTGTTAGTGATCAAAGCCGCAACATAAAGGGGAAGAATCTAAACAGTTGGCTTATCTTTGTCCTTCACCGTGACACAAATAAAATTGCTTCAGCAATAAAAGACGAGAAATCCTGTGACAAAAGCCCCGTGCCGCACTTCTCGAAAAAGTAAAATTGTTTGTTTGTCTCTCCGATCAGCTGAAGAGCCACAGATTTGTGGGGAAAATATACAAAAGATGAGCAGTTAAGGCCGCGGAAAAGAGATTATTTTCTTGGCTATTTGCCATCCTATGAATGTGAAATGATCAAGAAGAAGGCAAGTTTGTGGAAGTAGCTGTCGTCTATTTATACTAACAAAATAAACTGTGTGTATAGAAATAAATATTGAAATACCATGATTACCTGATGTCGCGGAACATGATTTTTATAAATAATTTTTTATCGTGTTTGTGAAGTGCTGTTGAAGCCTTTGCAGTGTTTTCGAGAATCTTTCTATCTCTGGTTTGTTACCTGGCCCAGTGGATGGGTGTGTGCATGTGGTGTAAATATTTGATAAGATTTCTATCCTCTTCCAGTGGGATGTA